ATCATTATTATCAATACCATTATTATTTATATCAGGATGATGATTATCATTATTATTGCTATTATTACTTTCACTGTCTATTATTATTGTTGTTGTTATCATTATTATCTTAATTACTGTCATCATTACTCTGTTATTTTTTATTGTTACCAATATCATTATTATTATTTCTATCATTATCATCAATTTTATAATTTTCATAATTCTGTATTATAGTTGTTATTATTATTATAATCATTATTATCATCATTATATATTATTATTTATATTATTATTATTATTATTATTATTATTATTATTATTATTATTATTATTATTATTATTATTATTATTATTATTATTATCACTAGTAGTAGTAGTTGTAGTAATAGTAGCAATAGTAGTAGTATTAGTATCAGACAGACAAACAGGCAGACTTACGACAGACAGACAGACGACAGACAGGCAGACTTACAACAGACGACAGACAGATAGACAACAGACAGACAGACAGAGACAGACAGACAGAGAGATAGATTGATACATTGACATACAGACAGATAGATAGATGTCTATTATCAATGTTAATGTTTATTTTTTCCTGTGATTATTATCCATGCTATTTATTTTTTACCTAGGAATTAATAGATTTTTTCTTAGATATCAAAACAGAAAGGAAGCATTTGCAATTTTCATTTACAAAAAGGACGGCCTTTTCTGCTTTTATTGAGCAAGGATTTTTAACATCATGCCCTTTTATTTTGTACCTTTAGAACATGTTTTTTAATCGTCAGTTTTTTAGTTATAGGTAAAAACTGAAACCCAAAATTAATAAATTGTAAGGTAATTTGTGTGAACCACTGGGTACATTTTTCTTAACAAGTCTGATATTTTCCTCTGAACGAAGGAGAGCTGAAGCCACTTTGCTCCATTTACCTTAATTTTCACTATACTCAGTAAAATTTCAAAAGAAAGCAATTGTTGGAACTGAATGAGTAGCAGTTTTGTTTCATATACCCTTTTTGAACAATAAGTAAATAAATAATATGAATGTCCTCCCAAATGGTCAAAAAAATTCACAATCTCTTATTTAGTGAAACGGCTCTACCTTAATTTTACTATCCTATAGGCATATGGCATAACTGTAACATATGTATTAACCGAAGACTCCTACCAATAAAGCCTTAACAATCATTTTCAATTTTTCTAATTTTTCCCCACATATCTAAACAGAGAAGTTGAAAGAAAAGGACAGGAAAAAAAAAATCAATTATTATAAGAATTTATTTTCATCCAGGTCAATGTTTCTATACACAAAGGTCTTTATACAAGTATAATGCATCAGAAAGTATACAGAAAAATGATGACAGTAGTGTAAGATCAACAAGCAGTGAAATATCCCCATCACATCCGAGGCCCCACATTGAAGTGCCAGATTGGCTTTTGGAACGAGAATGACTGGAAGTGGTGGACTGTACAATCACAAAGTGTAGAAAATTACTCTGGAGCAAATGGCACTCATCACCTGCAAGCGTAGTTCATGGGCCTGCCTACCATCCCATAACATGAGTGTGATAAACGAAAACGAGGTGGAACAAAAATATATGATCTATATATGCCTGTCCTTGTGAGCTAACTGATGAAGGGCAGATAGCAACCCATCTACAGAAATTACTCTCTCTTGATCGGTCCTTTCTCTCCCTCCTTTTTCTTCAAATATTTTCTGTATATATTTTAACTCTAATCTAACTTCATGTGTGTACATGTTTATGAATACATGCATGCGCATAATGCAGCTTGTCTTTTTTTTCAGTAACTGTGTTTGTAACACCCATGTCTTTTCTGCCTAGCCTGTTTGTTCTTTCCTTTAATACATGCTCTAATTATATATTGTTATTCCCTATACTCCTCATTCATATTAAAATAAAATGTCACAGATCCAAAACTTTTTGACAGTTACAGAAAATATGCAGAAGCACTACATGAATATTTCAAGTAATAATTTTTGACTAGACTTGCTGTATTTTTATGATTGTCAGCAGTATAAGCATCACTTTTTTAAATCTACAGTATGTTATAGTTTTGCTTAACAAGGGGGAATGGCATGATATAGAATACATTTAATAGCAGTACTTAAAATAAAGCATTAAAAATATCCATCAGCTGATAGAAACCCAGTTAAATCAGTTTATGTACAATAAATTAGCAAATTGCCTGACCAGCAGAATAGGGAGAATTGGGAATTGCAGACACTTATATATGCTAAGATAATCCACAATACAACAAAAAAATTGGTTCTCAGATAAAACAGACAAAAAATTATTATTCTGCATTTAAAAACTTTTAATGGCTGATGCAATACAAGAATGGCTACTTCGAACATAAGTGATGTGTGTATCTGTTTACTGTCATGTCTCTACCTAGTAATGACCTGATATACCATCAAATGATAATAACCAACCCCTCTACACAGATGCTGATAAATAACAAAGAAAACTGAGAATAATTAGCAATGGTAGCAATAAGACTTAAACTCAGTGTTTGCTTTAAGACTTACAGAGCTGTTGGGAGTAAGGCTCCAAATTTCCAAATGGAAGAGAACTGAAACTGTGTTCATATTCACTTCTAGAAGAAAGAGGCAAGTAGTTTTTGTACTAGCACTCAAAAAGCAAAATGAAGAAAATAAAGAATGCTAGTGCTTGAAATGGAAAAAAGAAAGAAAGAAATTGCATGTTTTGGTACTTGTATTTCTGGTGCATCTGTTCATGTGTGTGCTAGTTTCACCATGATCTGTGTTAAAGTTTGTTCCTGTTCATATAAAAGTTAAAAAGAAAAGACTGGTTTATAATAAAATCCAAAGCTTTCCAGGTGTAAAAATAAAGCTCTGAAATGCCAAAAGTTCTGAAATGAGAATCCATTCATAGTTTACAGGGTTGGACACAGGTTTCCCCAAAAGAGGGATTATGAACAAGGAAAAAAAGCCACACGAAAGGATGGAAGTAATGGAAGTATGTCCCTGTTAAATCACAAGATATGTACTGGCATAACAAGAGTTTTCTAATGACTGTAAAATATAGATGGAAACTAAGAGGGAGATCATAGCAATAATAACTTTTAACAGACATTGTCAAAAATATAAAACATTGAACTGTGGTACGTTGATAAATCAAATTTATATAATGGTTAATAGTTTTGCTTTTTTACCTAGTATTACCATTATCATAACTACCTGAAGATCATCTTCCATGAGACTTGCAAACAGGATACCTATAAGGACAAACCACAGTTAAGAAGCCAAGACGCATATCAGTAATACTTACAGTTCTTTTAAATCAGTTATACATATGCAGGATGCAACTGAAATTCAATTTATAAATTAAATATACATTTACTATTTATATTGTCATGATCCAAAGCTTAATCACTACAAGCAAGTATTGTTTTTGTTTGTTTTTCTGGTTTCTGATGTATAGAGTGGAAAGTACCACCTATACTTTGATTTTCAAAAGTTAGCTCCACTTAACTGGTCTGCATGCCATAGACTACGGTTTACTGCAAATGCTGGGAGAGTAGCTCTAGTAGTGTTGGTCCAAAAAAAATGCTGATAAAAAGAACCACTAGATAATGCTACCTGTACTTGTTTGCAGTTCTGACAGTACTGCTATCAGTGAACCTTGTGTTTGAATTTTTTTCCCTATCACTTTGGATATGCCATGCCTTTCAGTATATACATTGGTAAGTGATGGCCAATTTTCAAGTATCAAAGTACTGGCAGTACTTTCCACCCTGCAAATGTCTGATACAAATCATAAATCTGGAAAGAGGGGACTGTACGGACACAACTTCACTGTAAAAATTCAAGTGTAATGCTAATAAGAAAGTATTCACAAGCATTTTACTTATTATTAATAAATGTCTCTGCACACTTACGCAAATAAATGAGCACAAACTCCATATTCCTGTGCATGTATTGCTTGCGTTATGTCTAATGTATGATGTCAGTCGAGTGTTAGTAGGTAACAATATAATTATAATTAGATGTTTTTGTGTGTTTGTGTATGGCTGCAGTTAATTTACTTTTGCAAAAATTAAGTGTACAAAATATAGTTAACATATACAATACTATGTGGATCAATTTCTTTTGCATCACTGCAAATGAAATCTCACCCTTAAAGCCTGCCCCCTAGAGTGGGCATGATTGGCAGACACAACAGAGGCACCATCAAAAGTGAAATCACAGGTGTTGAAAACAACAGGAAAACTACTTGTTTACTGAGGCATTTGTGTGCCTTGTTACATCAGCTCTACTTGTACCTACCCTTGTGCCAATCACGCCTGCTTTTGTGGACTTGCCTTTGTCAAAGTGCTTCTATAAACTGAATAATGTGTCGCATAAAAATATAGTTGCTGCCTAATCAGGGATAGGAAAACAAATCTTGTTGTACAGCAATCTCCACTCCTCAACTCAAATATAGCAGAAAAAAAGTTAAAAGGAGGGAATATGAAGTTATATGAAAACCCTTAACGCAATTACTTTCAAAAGAAATGGAAATAAAATCTCCCAAGATATTCAGATGGGCTTGTTGGACACAATTTCACTTTCCTAAGACTCCAATCTAAATTTACTGTTGCTTACGTTCAAGTGGCCAATCATTGGGCGAAAGTTAACGTATAAGAAAAGTATATAACGTATAACGAATAAGGTAAGAAGTTAACCCAAAGCTGTCAGAAGATGTATTGTTCACTTAAGCTTTATTTGGAGAAATTTCTCTACAAATAGATGGCTCCTCAAGTGCTTAGCAAGCAAGGCATTAATTAGCAGACCTCATGACCTCACAGGGTTTAACATTTCCTTGAGTTTTTGGATCTTTTTTTTTACTAATGTCATTAATTTTGATGCTGTTATTTTTTATTATATACAATACCATTATTATTACAGTAACATTACGAAAAGCAATATAAGCCAAAGATAAATATTTCTGAAAATCAAGGAAAAAGGTAAACAGGTGAGATGAGTAGTACTAATAATTGACTCCTTTCTCACTAAGTACTTGTGAAGCTATGTATAAAGACAAATAATAAACTAAATTCACAGTGGGCACGGCATGTTCATACATGTCATCTCTGGCAGCAGTGGGTTTAAACACTTATATCGGGGGTAGGAGTGGAAAAAATAAAGGTGTAAAGTCATCTTACAAACATTGCAAATAACAATATACAACTCAATATCCTCTTTTATGTTTGTTTGTTTGTTTTTTGTCCTTTCCTTCTATGCTACAAAGTGAAATTAAAAGAAAAATTTGCCTGGTCAAGGAATGTATTGCTCCCAATGGCTTTTGGTATTAAAAAAATAAAGAAATTTTAAAAATAAAAAGAAGAGAAGCTCCGAGCCTCACACATTGCAGGAAAAACTCTGTCAAGAATTAATCCAACATGCCCTACAAGGTCTTTACTGCATGTAGTTATTTAACACGAACTTTTTGCATTTGAATAGGCAGACATCTACACTCTTACACAAAAGTCCATTCTCCTTCATTGAATAATTATTCATTATACATGAATAGGCAAGATGACATGATAAAAAAAAGTAAATTACATAACAAGATTACGTCTCTTCTGTATGTGAGTAACATGCAGGTCTTGACAGATGTGTATGTAATTGAGAAAATATGTACAAGTGTATATGTATACATGTATGCACAGTATGCTCATATTTATAAATATATTTGTAGACACATTTTTATGGGGAAAAAAAATCTCCTGGGAAAATTTACCAAGATGTTTTCACCTTCCACATTTCACTCAGAAAACATTACAAGTAGAATTCTTAGACACAAAGAAATTATAATATATATGTACAACTGAAAACAACACTCTCTTTGCAAAGACTTCCAGCAAAAGCTATTAAATTGTCTTTATATTTCCCAACCAAAAAATGATGAGGTTTACTTGAATTTCATCGCAAAGAAAGACAGATCAATAACAAGGTTCCGTAAGACTGCGCAAGTTTTTTTTACAAAACAAGATTAAACTGATACTTCATCCTCAAAATAGATGTAAAAATGGCTTCCTAATCTTTAATAAAAGACTTTTGCACTGAACAGCCCACTTGCCTGTATGGATCAATAGAATTAACAAAAGGAGATAGCTCGTATTCAGATACTTATTTACCACAGATATGTACTGTCCTTTTACATTGCCATAAAAAAAAACATATATAATCACCATCATAATCAAGATAAAAAAATAAAAGGTTGCCACTTTTTAAAGTATAGGTAGGTACTTTACATGAAAATAACTACTAGAAAGCAACCTTACAACATATTTTAACATGAATAGGAACAAGCAAATTACATTACCATTTTGATAGACTTCCAAGTCAAAATCATCAGAACATGACAAAAGCTTTAAGCCCTTGCACCTTTTATCTTTACAGAAATTTGTAAACCAAGGAGAAAAAAAAAGGAAAAATCTCATATCAACACCTACCATCATGACCCTTATAAACCTACTTGTTAATGAAGAACTTGCACATCAAAAGATGATACGGCAAATCCTCAATCACGAAAACATGATATTGAACAACGTAACTGGAATGACTACATAATATAGGAAAATATGATTTCTATGTAAGCAAATAAAATGTAGGGTTGGACATGTCAAGCTTAGCTGTTTGGCTAATGCAATAAGTTGTTTATCAATATACAATTGTATTGAAAAAAAAAATAATAATAAATTTGAAAAAAAAAATAAAAAAAACAATTACCATAATAACATTATAAAAGAAATCAATATTCCAGTCAGTAAGAACAACCCCAGCAGCTTGATGAAAAACAAAGAAAAAGCAAAACATGTATAGAAAGAGATAAGAAACAAGATAAAAAGAGAAACAAACGAGAGATCAGTGAAAGAAGGGAAAAGAGAGAGAGAGAGAGAGTGGGCAGGCTGCAAAAATAGACAGTGAAAAAGAAGTCTGTCTGAAAACAGGAAAGGAGCATATAAATGGAAAAAAAGCTTCACTGCTAGAGATGAAAATAAGGTAAGAAAAGTATGGCAGTTAAATCATTCTCAACCAAAGAAGTGTTAGAAATAGTAATGGACTTTGGCCTCTTTTTTCTTTTTTTCTTTTTTGTCTCTACTGACTGCACACATTGATTTGTATAATATCCACCCTCATATCAGGCACAAGAAATATATTCCAGATATGCCCGACAAAATGAAAAAGACACAGAAGAACACGATAAGGAATATTACTATACACTTATTAAACATCTGATTATACATGGCCCTCTCACTGGGGAAATCACCTGACTATACTAAGAAAATATATATATTTAGCAGGGAAAAAATGTAATATCTTTGTTGTTTCGCTGCTCTCAAGATAAACTGCATAATCTTCCCATCATTCATTAAAAATCACTAAAGATCTACGACAAACAGATAAATATATCCTGCATGATGCTGCCAGTATGGTGGAGCTACAATATGGTCAATGATGATGCTTCTTACTCCTCTCTCTCA